AGGTGCAGACCTGGTCCGACCGTCTGGCTATGTTCGGGCTCAGGTTAAACGTCAAAAAGACTGAGTACTTGACCACTGATTCGAGCGAGCCAGGCTCTATCAAGATCAATGGCACTGAGCTCACACGGACAACAACCTTCAAGTACCTTGGATCGGCAATTGCGTCTGACGGCAGCCTGGGTTTTGAAACGAATCCTCGCGTGAATGCAGCGTGGTTGAAGTGGCGCTCAATGACTGGCGTATTCTGCAATAAGAACATCCCTGAGCGTCTCAAATCAAAAATCTATAGAACCGTCATCCGGCCCGTCGCGATTTACGGCGCTGAGTGCTGGCCTACGACCAAAGAAGTAGAAGCTCGTCTCAGTGTGATGGAGACCAAGATGCTGCGCTGGGCAGCCGGAGTAAGACGACTAGACCGCATAAGTAATGATGCCATCAGGGAGCGATTCGGTGTAGCGCCCATTGTCGATAAAATGCGCGAAGCTCGACTCCGTTGGTATGGCCACGTTCTCCGCGCGGATGAAGGCAGTGTTCGTAAGATCGGTCTCAACCTAGATGTGCCCGGAAAGCGGCCTAGAGGGCGCCCAAAGCAAGCGATGGCTCGGTACGCTGCACGAAGACCTCAAAACGGTTAACATCCACCCCGATCAAGCGTTCAATCGGGAGAAGTGGCGTCAACATATCAGAAAAGCGGACCCCGCCTACACGCGGGACAGGCGCTAAAGAATAAGAAGAAGAAGAAGAAATATCTGTACTCGATATGTACCAGGAACTTGCGCCTGTCTGTCTAACACGAAATCCTGTATCATCCGGAGAAGCACCTGTAAGATCGGCTGACTATGATTTGGGTGGATCTTATGCATGCTCAACAGTTGCTCTTGAAGGCAACGAAACTTCAGGCAGAACGTGGACCGAAACGGGCGATGACAAAGATGAAGCTTTTTAATTTGATTCCCAAATGGCCCACTTGCCGGGAAAATAAAGAAGTGAAATACAGGTGAGGAGCGGATTAAGAATGAAATGAAAGAGGCAAGCTCGTGCTGAGCGGAGCGCTCTTACAGTGAGCAGTACTTACTTGCATGACCTTTCGCCAAGCTGATCTACAATTTCTTCGGGCGCGCATCAGTAACCTCGTCCCCACGCCAGCCACAGTAGTCGAGTAGATCTAACCCACTCGAGGGAGAAGAATCACAGCACTCCTCTGTTAAGAATTTTCGTGAAGAAGTCTAATCACCGTGATACAGTTCGTTCTGAAGTTCGTTTGATATCCCAAGGGATACAGTCGGTAGTAGCTCTGGTCTAACGATTAAACAATATCACATAAAGTGCCCGACCCACCTGATATTCGATTCCTCGGAGCAGGAAACGGAATCCCTGATTTTCGCACGTTGACGGAGTTCGACACTTCGGATTCTCCTTTGCTATTGCGTGTATAGTTAGTTTTGAGCATCCTTTTTTCACAACGTGGAAGAACTATAAACCTCGCCTGTTCATCCTGCTTTCGCAGAGTCCGAGTCTCCGAGACGTTCGTAAAGCCGGCAGGACCGCAGGGTCAAAACGCAAACGCAGGGCCAAATGTTCCTCATCTTCTCAACTTTTCTCTGGATGTTCTTGAACGCCCCTATGCCGCTCGTTTCTGTCTGATCAGCTCCATAGCTGGGTCGTTCACCATGTTGCCTTTTCGACCTAGATACATGCAATTGGAGCATTTAAAGTAGTCGTTACCTTTTGCGTGAATAGGGCATCAGGTTCTTAGTTCATTCTAGAGCCGATCTTTCCACAAGCGCTGTCAAGTTAGCCAGCACTCTTCCTGCCATGTTCGGTGTTATGAGGACGCTGTCGTCTGGAAAGCGGAGATATAAATAGCGGCCGTTGACCTTCATCCTCAAGACCTCTTATTTCATATGACGGTGCTTTGGTGAGCGGCACTGCGTGGCATTGTTGTGGAGTTCTTGAAGCATCCTCATATATCGGAAGGAAACAACCTTTATCCTTGAACGAGGCTTCAAACACCGATTCCGTCCCGCATTATCAAAGGCCATCTTAAAATCGATGAACGCCATACAATATGACGGCACCCTGCACTCTTATTACTATTCGTTGAGTCTTGTTAGACTGTGGATGTGATCGATTGTACTGAACCCACTACAAAACTCTGCATGCTTGCACGGCTATCCTCCATCCAAAATTTTGATAATCCTTTCGAGGACAACTCGTGTAAAAAGTTTATAGGTCACAGACAACTATAGCTTCCAACATCGTCTGGATCTCCATTCTTGTACAGCAACTCTGTCTTTCTTATTTTCCACGATGCCAGCACCTCACACTCCGACTCTTACGTACCTTGCTTTATCACTTCTCTGCATAGCTTTGCAGACGTTTGTCCGTGATTGTCCATATCTTCCATGATAACGTATTGGCTCGAGAATCTTCGAAGAGAAACATCTTGTGACTACATGTAGATTCTCTGCTCTTCTAGCACTATCGTGAAGATGTTCGGTAATACTTCTCATCGATGTTGTAGATGACGGAGACTTTCCAAAATCTTGCAAAGAAAGTGATCTCAATCATGACGATCTTGGAGCTTTGTTTCCCAAATTTCGGTGCTCTCAGTAAAGAAAAGAAATCTGGCGCCGAGAAGCCGATAAGCCGATCCCATGTTTTTTTTTCGGATCAACAGTGACGTTGGCTACGCAAAACATTTGATCAAATATGATGTGATCCATTCTACTATAGAACGTCTACCAGGCTGTTACCACGTCCACTGCAGGTGAGAGAGCTCCTCGAACTTTAGTTTACAATGGATGCTATGGGTGGGACAAACTCGTACAGTCTTTCATCCTTTTTTTCAGTGAGTCCTGATATGTAGCTCCAGCCGTTTTTCTGGGAACAATTTTAGCGTTAAAATTACCGACGATGACTTCAAAAAAAGTATCATACTCTCTGAAGAGCCTCCTCAAAATCATATGAATAGCTTTTACCTGCTCTTCTTCGCAGCTTGATGACTAGCGCATAGACAAAGAAATGACTCAGAGCTGAGTCACATATTCTCAATCGCAAACGTCCGATTCGGGATGTCTAGCCTCCACACGGTTCGATGTTCATAACCAAGTGCGTATTGACGAGGACACTCACGCCACCGATGCATCTGCTGTTGCATGTTTCAAATAGCTGTTTGGTCAAAAAAACGGGGTGCAGCGGGAGTTGCCTTCATGTCTCGGTCGGTCAGATGACGTTGTGCATGTTCCTCGTGGCTCGCATCATCAGATCTTCAATGTACGCATTCTATATTACGGTTTTCGGCATATGTCTTCTCATGGGTTTCCAGAACATGAATCCTCCTGCATCTTCGGACAGGTACAGTTGACTTGGTACGCGATTTACTCCCTTATCCACCTGACGTCGCTCCACGTACCCTTGTTACCAACCGGCCAGGAATTGTTTAGTTAGAAAGAACCCTCAGCGTACGGGATTTGTGGCGTACTTCCCATATGAGTTCGTAGCTACTCAGCCTGATGGTCAGAATTTTGAGGGTGGGACTAAGATCGGAGACACGTAATTCCGTTTGGAACATTCGTTGCTGTGATGCCCGCGTTAATGTGCGCAGGCCAACTGATAATAGACTGTATCACGACTAATAGTGATATAATACCCTCCAAAAACGAGCACATTTCTGGTCCTAAGAGATGTCCTTTCTTAAAATTTGTATCACTCAGAACCGGTATTCAAAAGTTGTCAGGTTATATGCACCGCTTACCCTAACTTAATATGCAACTGAGGAGAATATGGGCATGTAAGGTAATAGGAAAGTGGGCATGTCTATTTAAAATTTTGACTTTCAGCGCTCAATAAACAGAGCAGATACGGTTTCTGCAGGACTCTACAGGGCACCAACACACTCTTGAGACTCTACCTCTTAGCCCAAGGGCAAAGCCAAATATCGGGTTTATATGGCTGTGACTGTTTGAATTGTAGAATTGAAATGAATTAAATTGAACAACATATTTTCGGCCAAACAAACCTAATCACTTTTGTAACGCTTAACAGCTGTGGTGCAGGCACCTGACTAGCCGATATGCTTTCTCGATGCGATGAATCTTCAGCAATCATGGCACTGCTACTGCTAGTTTCATTCCGTGTTGGGATGACTACAATCTGCGGTGAACTGACACTTGGTGACATCAAATGTGATGCCGGCCGAATGGACTGCGTTTGGTTTGAACCCATAGACAACCTAGTAATAATAGAAGTGTCAATCGAAATAGTTCTTTTGGCAGGAAGATCCTTCCATTATGGGAGCGGAATATAAGGAAGTTGTAGAACACAGTACGATATGGTCAAGAATGAAATCACCTTGCTACATTGAGAAGAAGTTGGCCGGTCGACGTAATTCCATCGTGTCCACCGGTGATAGTCATATGTTTCGTTAGCTCTAATTTATTTTGTCTATCAATTTCGGCATTTTGCTCCGCAATGATTTCCATTGTTCTCCTAATCTGTTTTGATGAGTTAAACAAAGAAATTCCGAGGTTCTTCTTCAGCCAACTCACCATGAAAAACTCACCTCAGTGCTGCGTTTTTCCCACCTGTTGCCCCGGTTACAAGCCACGACTCTGAGCTCAGGTTTGGTCTTGAAAAGCAATTTGCCTTGACTGAGAACAAAAACCCAACAACTTTTTTCAAAGCTTTCACCTCAAAGACGAGGTCCAATACGCCAAAAAAACCATTAAAGGCACTGAGAATATCACGATAGGAATAATGGCAAAATTCATGAATTCCGTCATTGAGTCAAATCTCGGGTACTTTTCATAACTGATTATGGACCAGCCAAGACGGTTCGAGATCTCGGAGAGATGTTTGGAGATAATATCTGAAACCTCGGTTGAAACAAATGTATTCTAACTGCATAATATCAGTATCAGTATAATATCCTTTAACTTGGGGCAAGATCTGGATTGTGTACTCGCAAGAGGATGTCTTCAATTCTTTTAACTCTTAATGAACACGACTCATTACATACGTTCCAGAACAGAAATAATTCGTTCCAAATTCTGCAAAGCATTCCTATACATCCTGAGAGACATCCTGGTCTTAACCTCTCATTATTCCCAAGTAGAGGTTTTGAGAAATGGTAAAAATAACGTCAATCGCAGCGTTATGGGGAGTGATCGGGTTGGTACGACTCCCAGACGCTCCCCATTCCGTCCCTGCTCGCTTTTGTTCCATGTTCGCTTTCCTGAAAAGCACCAAAGTATGGGTCAGCGCATTGTGATTTCAGACGCGAGATACGTATCGAGTTTCCTTCTAGTGAGACTTCCATACCGTTCTTGTGAAAATAATCACGTTATCTGAACGAACGACCAAGTCAATCTATTGTCACAGATTGCCCCACACATTCGACGAGGTGTGAAGCATCCTATCGTGAGGTACTACTGGTGCCGTGGTTGCTGTTCAGACTTTAGATGTACTGCGCTATTACTCAGTTATAGTCAGCGTCGACAAGGTGACAGGGCGAATTTGGCACAGTCCGCGCTTACTAACAAGGTAACGTTCGCCACTGCGCTGCATCCATGCGAACTGTCTAGCCAGAGACGAAAGTTTGCTTAGCAAGAGACTGACTTGAAGAAAGTAACTCTGCGGTAGAGTCAAGAAGGCATTATGGCCGCTCCCTTCATACTTCGGCAATTCATGAGATCAATGGTTTGAACTCCAAAGACGGGGAGTTTTCGTTTCCTGTTAACAGTCGCTAAATTGTTGAAGTTTTTGCATTGCATGAGAGTCAGTTTTGTAATACAAACATTGTGGTCGTTGTGCTTTCCTGAGGCTCGACTGATGACTATATTCCGTGATCCAGAAAGTCACATACGATTATGCGTTTTACATTGAAGCGACTTCATTAGGAAAACCACATTCTTTAACCCATTGACGACCGCCACCAAATCGTGCTCCTGTAGTATTTATATAATTTATCAAGTGTTCTTATAGTTTTTTTCATGTTCTCAAGTATCAGCTAAGCTCACAGCCTTCTAGAGAATCTTGAGGCATTGTGGTCCACGAGTCATTCATTTCCAACTATAGTTATAAGAGAAACTAAAAGATAATGTAAGGTCAATGACAATATAAAAGGTGCAATCGCCAATGGGTTAGCACGTATAATATATCACACAACATATTCAATATATTATACAGTTCTGAAGGAAATATAAGCCCAATATAGGTAAAATTTTGAAGTTAACTGACGTTAGTGATCCCATCGATGAAATGCTCCCCGTGGGACCAAGTGCAGCAGCGTTTCAGTTAGCTTATGTCCCAGACGTCACATCTCGAGCAGAAAATGTGGAAGGACGATTTTGGGACGGAGGAGGAGGCTTTTTCTCTTGTAGCATAAGCGGACAGCAAAAATTCGCTAGCTCTGGATTACCAACAAATTTACGACGCGCTGAAAGAAATTTGTTAAGACTGCGAGTCTTCACTAGTAATCCAGACTACTATGCTACCTCTACCAGATTTGAACATCCAAAACTGGTGGCTATCAAGTCCTTTGTTTATTCTTTCCCTTTCTGAGTACATATAAGTAGATGAGGACGTTATTGAGAACATTACAATGAAGCATGCTTTGAAGAAAGAAAACTTCAATTTTGCACGATAGCACATTATAGAGCGAGCATAGTATGAACTGAAAAGCGTGAAGACAGGTTGAGCATTCTCGAGCAAGGCAAGACTATTTGTAAACGACTCGTACTGTGATACATGAGGAAATCGTGATGGAACTGGGATGTTTCTTTCAGTCGAAGAAATTTATTTATCAAAATTCGATCCGCTCCAAAGATAGGAAGCTCCCTTTCCATCGACAAAATAAAGCACGGTACCATAGAAACTCAGTTCCAATCTCAAGCCATTGTCTATATAAATAAAGACGTCATAACCAATCGATACGTGCTTTGTATGTATTAGGTCGTGAAGAACGTTCTTGCGTTTTTTGGCGCCCAATTTTCAAATGCTCGCCTAGATGTAATTTGCAATTGGATGTTTTGTAAATTTATACCAATCTAAAGCGCATTTCTTGACCTATCCAAATATATAATCGGTTTTGTCCTGGAATGATACCTGGGGTTTTTTAGAAGGTCGAAATCAGCATAGACAAACGACAGATCCGCACAATTTTTCTTTTCCAATTCAAATTGGGCAGGAGTGCGACGGAAACGGCCCGGGATATCAATGCTGTCTTTGGTCCAGGTACGACGAATTAATGTACAGCACAATGGTGGTTTAGAAAATTTCGTACCGGCGATGAGAGCCTGGAATATGATGAGCGCAGTGGGCGGCCATCGGCTGTTGACAACGAAGAATCGAGAACGTTAGTGGGAGAGAATCCATGTACAACGCTGAAGGATATTGGCTCGAGATTGAACGTTTCCAGCAGGACGATTGGCACCCACATGCAGGAGATCGGGAAGTCGAAGAAGCTTGATAAGTGGGTGCTGCATGAGTTGACTCAGCACCAGAAAGACCGCCGCTTCGAGCTCGCCCCCGCCTTGCTTCTCCCTACCGTGTTGTGACGTGTGATGAGAAATGGATTTTGTACGACAACAGGCGACGATCAGGCCAGTGGCTGGACAAGGATGAAGCCGCAAGACATTTTCCCAAGCCGAAGCAGCATGGCAAGAAGGTGATGGTGCTGGTTTGGTGGTCTGCAGCCGGGCTGATCCACCACAGCTTCGTGGATCCGGGTGAAACCGTAACAGCCGAGAAGTACTGTCAAGAGTCAAGAAATTGACGAAATGCATCGAAAGCTCCAGCTCATGGGCCCGGCACTGGTGAATAGGAAGGGGCCGATTTTACTCCACGACAACGCTCGGCCCCACGTCTCACAACTCACCCTGAGAAAATTGATGGAGCTAGGTTATGAAACTCTCCCACATCCACCATACTCCCCAGACCTTGCCCCCACAGACTACCATTTCTTCAAACATCTCGACGGCTTTCTCAAAGAGAAATGCTTCAAAACCCAACACGATGCTGCCGCGGCATTCGACGATTTCATCGCCTCTAGAACTCCGGACTTCTATGCGAATGGGATAAATAAACTTGTTTTTCGTTGGCGAAAGTGTGTCGTTAGTAATGGTTGTTATTTCGATTAATGAAGTTTTGTTTAAGCCGAGATATGTGCATTTGAAGTTTGAGGCGCAAAAACGTAAGATTTTTCTTCACGACCTAATATTTGTCATGTGCTTTTACACAGCTTAATGTCGTGTATTCATTCCTATGGTCCTCATTCTGTGAGGATATGATTGCTTGTACTCAACACTTCGAAACTCTTCTCGTTCGCAAGGTTATCGTCCAGGCTTCTGTGAATACTGTTAAGGGTGACTTGTGCGGAGCATTCGTAGCTTACGTATAGCAGGCAGATTGAGCAATAGTTGTCAATATCGCCTACGCTTCTATTCCTATAGAGTCATACGGTCCTCCATAAATTGAATACCTTGAATTCTCACGCCCTTTTTCACCCTTATGAATATAGGATGTGAAAGTGCAAGGCATTTAGTTTCCACGCAAGACTTTTGCGATGTCTAGAGGATCTTCAGACGTTCTCATTTAACACTGTCGGAACATAGTGCGACACGATTTTTGAGACTCCGGGGAGAGAAGCTGGATTGGTAAATATCTTCAATGCCATTACATCTGAGATGCAATGATTGTTCCTTCAGATCAATGAGACTGATCATATTGGTCTTGTGGAGCTCAGGAGGGCTTTGATGATGCTCTTCGCCTATTCGAATCCACCGCTATCGCTTCTCTAAAGCTTCTCATGAACAGACCTCAATTTTGTTGCATCTGCTCGCGCGATCTCAATGCGGTTTATCTGCTCCATAGCTCTCCAAGAAAGACTTCCCTTGATTGCTTGAAACTTTCTGCCTTGCTATATTACCATAAAGGTGTGCAGCGATATCCGTCGTCGATGTTAACAATTATGGAGCCTTTCCGAAAACCCGCCAGGAGCGCGAACGGGTCCCAACAGTTATGGGCTTCGACCCTTAGAACTGATTTCCATCCATGCATTGAAAAACAGAGTCTGGTTTGGATGGGTTGGGTGGCCCGATCTTGTGGGGAACATCGGAACAACAGAGAAGGTAGAAAAATTCTGATTGGACTTGATATAGTCTGTGTTACTTTGGAGCTGCCAGTCAGGTGGCTCCCAATTCCATCGCTAGCGAGAAAGTTTCTGGAGCTGCGGACTGCCATGAATGATGTCTACCCTATACACTCTATGTTTTTTTACAAAAAGCTACCTGCCTGCAATATGTGCGCCCCAGTGCATATAGTGCAATCTCTACAGCTTCTACAACGCCGTGAGAACTCGTCCTCCTCGAGTGTGCACATCGGCTTAGCCGATTCTACAGCCCTCATAACCTCATTCTACCCTTATAAGACGGTCTATACTCATAAAAACGTGACATACCATAGTGTGAAGGTGATGTTGGTTAAAGCCTAGAGTGGACCCGCTCTGGTAATAAGAACTGATACTCTCTAGCAAACTAGCCTACGCGAGACGGTAAAAAATCGCTTATTCGCATGCTAGATTCCTATTAAGATTGAGATCGATGAGATTTTGTTTGTACAGCACGAATTTCCAAATAGCCCGGGTGAACGAAGTAAGGAAAAAGACTTAGAAATAAGAGGTGTGAGTGGAAAATCCTATAAAAGCTCTTACCAAAGAGATGGTCACTTCCAGGTCTTTGCGCTATCCGCCGAAGTCTAAGATACAGCGTCATGAGAGCATTTCCTCGAAGGAGAAAATTCTTTAATCTTCATATTTCCGGGATACTGGGAGATAAATAAAGAAGAAAGAGTTGAGTTCCATAGGTATTCGAACGAATAGGGGCCGAGACTTGACCATCGAACGACAAACGGTTCAGGCTTGAAATCGAAAAATTTTCGACAATGTAATTTCATTTTTGAAGCATGTCGAAAAGTTCAATACTACTACTAACTCGTGGTCCACCGGCGATTGCCACAGATTAATTCGTTCGCGATGGATCATCCGCCATCGCGAACGATCCGCCGTAACCCGTTGTTCCGCCATAGGCTTTCCTTAAGTTCCCCGATCAAGCTGAAAGTAAGATCAGCGCAAACTCTGATCGCGAAGAACCCAGATATAGAATCAATCTTTGATTTTCTGATAATTTTCCAGAAATCCCTTTTCTGGTGCTGAGTTGGATGTGCTATCATGACAGTTATCTGCCTTGAAATTTCTTTTTGATCATATCTTTCGTGGCAGCGTTTTTGGGAGCAACTGTTGCTTCGGATATCTTTATGGAATGATTCAGGCTAATTTCAGCCTAAGAATGAGATTCCGTTGTATTTTCTTCTCTTTATTTCCATTGTTCGAGAGAACATAGTCATACAACATATGTATAAATATAAAATATAAATATGTATATGTTCACCAGTCAGCAATGAATGAGGTGATATTTGACCCCTCAGAATCGATCTGCTCTCGCTCACTGGATCTGCGAGGACATCTTCGCTTGAGACGTGTATGTATTCTACTCGACGATGTTCTGTACTGCATTTATAGCCGAAATTATCAGAGAAGGTTATGCAATGTCAGTGCAAAAAGTTCTAGTGTGAAGCAACGTAAGTAGAAGGCTCGAATGGGAATAGGAAAGCTTATTATGAACGAATTCCCTAATCATATATGTATATACAGTAGCGCTCAAAAGGCTTCGGTGAAACGCTTCGACGCTCTTCCTTCCATAACTTTTTTGTTAGTAGACCAAATCGCGCAAAATTTGGATATGTTTAACTAGAGCATATTTCACCCTCAGCACTATTTGACCGCAAAGCTGCAATATCCACAGATAGAGCAAGGTGTTTTTTGCGGTAGCAGATTTTGCTAAAAGTAAAGTTGTTGACGTCTGCACTTATTCGCACCTTATGTGCGTTTCCCTCATATATTGTAATCGGCGTTACCGCTCGTACACTTTAGACATGACCAAAAGGAAGGGGATTCTAGAAGGACCGTCATCTGTATTTTCAGTCGATTTTATTTTCATACTTCTTGGAATATCTGGAGTATGATCAGATTGCACGTTAATAGTGGTAAATATTCACAATACACTCACGCTCCAAATATAGAAATTTCGCATTATTAGATCCAGTAGGAAAGGAGTCACGACTGGAAAGTACGGCAGAAGAACCAACTTTCTTGCTTGAAAGTTTGCTGATAATGATGAAGTGATAATGAAGTTATTCCATATCGTAATAGGGTATCAGTACATTCTCGATCGACCCCAGTGCGGACTCTTACGAAGGTCTAGTCTATTCCATAACAACATGACCTGACACACCAAAAGTCAACTGGCCACTATTAGGTAGGAAGATAAGTCCTGCAACACTTTGAACGAGTTTTGAATTCCATATTTCTTTATAAACGAAACCTTCAATCTCCAACATAATCATCATTATTATCTAGGACACGTGCCCATCTCCCGGGTAGCTTCTAGATCCCCCTCTTCCAGAATTCCGGTGGCCGCGACGAGAAAAAGTGGTCGATTTCGTTTTCGAAGTGACGACTGCCATCAAATTTTTAGTCCCTCAGATGGTGCTTCAGCGTTCTGAATGGGTGATGACCAGAACGCGCTAGGTCTGGTAAGTAAGTCGGATGTAACAGTACTTCCTATCCGAGTTCCATAATTTTTTGATGCCTTTCGTTGAAATCGTCCACGCGTGCGTTATCGTGGAGTTGGAAGGAATTGAGTCTTCTCGGGTGTGATTCTCGCATTACGTCGGCCCATTTTTGCAGCTGGTTAACGAAGACTGTGACCGTCACTGTAGTGTCACTGTTTAGCATCTGTTTAGCATACTCCGGTAGATCATTCCACCGCAGCCACCAGCAACACAATAAACTTCTTCTAATGAAGGTCTGCTTCAGGTCCCATAGGTGGTTTTTCTCCTCGCGCAACCCAGTGGCGCTCACGTGTATGGTCTAGGTAATGCACCCCGCTCTCATCTCCGGTCACTAAGTCTCATAAGCCCTTTCGATTGGTACGAAGAGAAGAGATTCACCCACCTGCGTCCTCTTCGTCTAGTCAGACAGGCGTAGTTCATGAGGAGCCTCTTCACGAGCTCTTTTATGTTTATTTTCAAAGCCCCACAGGAGCACTCCACAGCAATCGGGCGCGGAAACATTTAAAAAGGGATTAATTTCTTTCATAGAGCAACATGTTCAGTGTTGCAGGACTTATCTTCCAACCTAATCTTACCACTATCGAATGGTCGGCCGAAATGTACACAGGTTGTTTGGACAGCTTCTCCAGTGTCGTTCCACCCCTCCCCGAATCCATAACATGGGAAGCTAGGGATCTAGAAAATGATTTTGATTTAGCAAAGAATGAAGTAATAAGAGATTCGGAGTGGTACAAAAAAATTTGGAAGCAACCATGAAATTCCATCTTTTGACGAGTAATATGAACTTTGAAATGAAAATTTGTATTGACCTCATACCTGCGACTAGTCTCGTATATTCATCGTATGTATCACAGAACCGCAGCTTGTGAACGAGTGCAAAACCATTTCGTTTCCCAGGAAATGCACCTCCGGAAAGAACTAGCCGATTCTTAGAAAACTCGTCATTTAAATCACAATTTTTCAACTAAAACTGTGTGAATTCTGCTGTGAAGGATATCAAAATGAACACGATTACGTACACTCCTTGGACATAGTGCCATCTATGCCTTTCAAAAAATAAGAACAATGATCTCAAGTGAAGTGGAGGATATGCCATGTTATTATATCCGCGGGTAACACCCCAGGTACTTGATACCTCATTCTACGATTTCGGTGAAAGGAAATTCGAAGGGAATCAATAATCCACTATATGACTGGGAACCCGTTGGCAAAACGATCCATTGTTGTCGCATTTGAAATAGGTGGCTGGGATGAAGTGGCTATAGTCTGAAAAGTAGGTAGCTTGAATTATTGTTTTCACCTGAGAGTCTTGAAATTTTCTCATGAAGGATACCAAAATTATCAGGATTTTATATTTTCCCGGAATATGGTGCCAATCATGCCTTTCGGAAACTGGAAACGAAGTTTCTGATCGACGTGGAGGGTTTACGATATTTCATATCCGGAGATAATACCCTAGTTGCTTATAGACTCATGCTCATTTTTCTGGTAACGAAGGCAAAAATTCAAAAACAGAAATTTCTAGCATACTCGAACTCTCCAGAGCGCAGAGCTTTTTGCTGATCCTACTTCCAATTTGATTGAAAAAAATCAAAGTACTGCATCTGGGTAAAAACAATGTTCGTAACACCTACTCTATTTCAAACTCTCCCATTGCAATTGCCTTTGTAGTTAAAGATCTTGGTTTTACAATTATCCGCGAGCTGTGTTTTGATGCCTTAACATTGCTGCTAAATCGGAATCTAGGCTATTTCTTTTACTTCGTGCACTTTTTAGTAAGGATCCTATCGTTCTGCTCAAAGCCTTCAAAATGTACGTACGACTTACTTGAATATGGGACCGTAATTTTTTTCTTCATATATAAAGAGAATTTTACAGACAATCGAAAGGGTTCAAAACAGCTTCACAAGGAAAGTTTTTATAAGAGCGCTTGGTTATACGTGCAATAGCATCATTCGTGCTATTGTAAGGAACAAAATGTTGAATTCAGACTCTCTTAATAAAAGGAGAGTAGTGAATGATTTGGTGACGGTGCATAAAACTATGATGGGCACAATCTCACTCAGTTCTACCAGATTGTTTTCCTTTCATCCCTCGAAAATTAGAGGTAACTCAAGCAAATTATTGTTTGCTTCGGTCAAGACCTCACTAGGAAAGCACTTCTAAGCACGAAGTATACCAAGCTCAGCAAAAAAGCTAGTTTCTCGCTTAATCCTTCCAAGGTGAGACGGAAAATTTCTCATTTCCTTATGAATCACAGCTAGTTGTCACCTTTATTGTTGTGTTGTCTTTACCCGCGTTGTTACTGGTATCCTTTATACATATGCATGTATGTATCCATATATGAATATATATCAAAGTGTGCTCATAATGTTCATTAATGTTTGATGTTCTCCTTCAGTTGTTTAATTTTTTGTGTTCCTTTAGTTGTTTATAATCACGTTTTAGGTACATGTTTGGAGGCGTTTGTTTGTTTTTCATTTCTCTTTACTTCACATGTTCTGTTAGGACATGTAGTAAATTGAAAATAGAGCGCTCTAGCAAAAGTTATGGTCAAGAACGGTTCGTGACGGATTAATCCGTCGCAGAGCGTCCCTTGACCTCATCTATTGGTAGAGCGCTTCAACCAAGTCGAATGTAAACCATGACTACCAAACGGATTAATCTGAATCGGATTTCAGTGAATCACGAAATAGTAGCGATATTGTAACAGTGTTGCGATTCCTTCAACTTTTCATTTTGATCACAAAGTTTATTTCGCCGAGTTGGTTCAACATTTTTGGAAGTTTCAGACAGACTTTTTCAGATTTCCTTTCCTGACATGAAAATCAAATTTCTCACCAGACAAAACCGCTCTTGGGAGCAACGGACGAGGTTGCTTCGAGACTGCTTCACTGTTATGAGGGAAAACTACGTAAAACTTAATGTGGATTGCTCCATATTCTCTCCTTGGGAAGCCTTCAACGAACATAATGTGTTCTGGACCGAACACCAGCCTGGAAAAGAAAGGTCGAAAGAGGTTGCTGGTTGCGGCTACAACACTGTTACCAAAAATTGTATTACGCAAAAAAGTGTACTGTTTCTTGAGGTTGCATGCAGTAATGTTGTGGCAGTACTTGGTGGCCACTTTAGAAAAAGCTTTTCTGAATGGAGAAAGAATTTCTGGTAGAGGCGCATCAACGCAATACGCCACTCGAATCCCGGATGACCATTCAAACATATCTAATTCTGAAATAGAAATGTCTTTCTGAAAAATTCTCCTCGAAAAGTCTAAAATTTTAGCAGTTAACTAGCTTTGTAGTTTTACTGTGACGTACACACATGTTTCTTTGAGCAGCACCTTGAAGCACGTAAAGCTTTAACTGAAAGCCAAAGGTTGGTGTTTCTCGCCTGAATATTCTTTAAGATAGTGGGGTACGTCTGTAGGGCGCCCTCTCGCTAAATCAGTGCAGAGCAGTTTTGGGTGGGGCTAATAACAGAGGTAATCAGCAAGTCTCGAAGCATGCCGGCTAGTAAACAGAAGCGTGCTAAGAATGACCAGTGATAGACTATGCAGGGTAACTTCACATGCATCAGTAGGCATTGCCATGAGGCCTGTACAGCATGTATACTCCTCCCTTTCACTCTGATATATTAAAAATTCCAAATGCCATTAATATACGCAGTAAGAAGATTACATTCACAACAGAGCATTTCTTGCGGGACCACACTTCAGCAAATAGAACAACTTCAACTTCCACGTTCGGTCTTCTTGAAACTTGGTCATTTCACACAATGTTTAATACTGCTCTGCCATACAGGTTTGTTATGGCTGAACCGCTTTATTGGTCAACGTTTAGACTGCATCATCGAGTTCCTGATCTGTGCTTAACCCGACCAAGCGCCCAAACGCGCTGAGCTAGTTGCAACAACTCTCGGAAACTAAAACTCGGAAAAGTTTCCACCAGAGTAACCGACGTCCGCGGTTCCACCAGCGTTACGTCCCACTCTATGTGAACAACAAGCGACCAGTGAGAAACCACTGATGATCGTAAGATGAGAATTATGCGGGTGATCTCAAAGTTCACAGTAGGGAATGAGCGGCAATAGTTACTTGTTATGGCCGAGCGCTCAATTCGGTTGTTCTGACTTGGATTTTTCGTGCGAATATGTAACGCTTCCAGCATCTTTCTGCCACCGATCTCATTCCCGTATGCTAGGATTTTACATTCGATGTCAAAATCATTGCCTCGATGTCTTTCTAGTCGGTGCCTCCCAAGTAGTGTAGGGGACTTCCACGCCTTTTTCCTGCCAGATGTTCTTTGATGCGTAGGCCGAGCATCCTTCCCGTCTCCCCATATACTTATTTATTTATTTATTTATATTTATATATATTCCGTCACAGACAATGAACAATGAAGTTAATGAACCGTTCCTCGCTGTGTGCAACCTCCGTCTTTTCCAAACGGGCAAATGACGCAGTTATCCGTAGAACATGCACTGTCATGAAGCCTATGGTGGATTAGTTGACGTTTGATAATATCTCCTGGTCGATTTCTCAAGACAACTTCATTGGCCAAATCCGCACGTGCTATGCATTGTCGGAATTCTGCCCTAATTTTGTCTGATATAAAAGGAAGCCGAAGATACACCATATTCTCAGGATTCCTTGGAAAATGCCTTTCCGAGCCTGATGTTGTGCCCCATAACCATTCAACTTTGCAATTAGATACTTTACTTTCAATTTCACTGTGACGTGCACAAATGTTGTTTTGAGCAGCATCTGAAGCACATAAGGCTTCACCTATGATAGGGCACAACAAGGAAGATCACACTCGAAAAGGCATTCTCCATAAAAAAAACCTGAGAATATGGTGTATCTCCGGCTCCCTTTTATATCAAACAAAACTAACGCAGAAATCCGACAATCATAGCACGTGCGGATTTGGCCAATGATGTTGTCTTGATAAGCCTACAAGGAAACAGTATCAACGTAAGCTAATTCGCAATAGGTTTTACGACCGTGCATGTTCTATGCATAACTGCGTCATTTGTCCGTTTGGAAAATACAGAGATTGTACACTGCGAGGGACGTTTTTCATCTTCAGTGTTCAGTCTGTGGCGGAATATATATATATATTGGGGAGATGGGAAGGACGTTCGGCGCACGCGACAAAGAATATCTGGCATGAAAAAGGCGTGGAATTCTTCTACACCACTTGGGAGGCACCGACTAGAAGGACATCAAGGCAATGATTCCGATACGAATGTAAAACCCTAGCCTACGGGAATGAGATCGGTGCCACAAAGATGCGGGAAGCATTACATATTCGCACGAAAGATCCAAGTCTGAACAACCGAAATGAGTGCTTACAACAAGTGAACTCTTGCCGTTCATTCCCTATTGTGAACTTTGAGATCACTCGCATAATTCTTATCTACGATCATCAGTGGTGTCTCATTGGTTCCTTGTTGTTCACATAGAGTGGGAAGTAAGTTGGTGGAAGAGCAGAGGGTCGGTTACTCTGCTTGGAACTTTCCGAGTTTTTGTTTCTTTAGTTTAGTTTTTTCAGTTTTTCAGTTTTCTAGGAGTTGTTGCAACTAGCCCAGCCCAGCTCGTTTGGGCGCTTGGTCGGGTTAGTCACAAAGCAGGAGCTTCGAACTATTTTTAGGCCCTGAAGACGACGATTCAGTCGAAACGTGGACAAATAAAGCGGTTCAGCCAAACAAACCTGTACGACAGAGCAGTGTTGAACATTATGTAGAACAACTTTATTTTAGAAGCAATTAAGAGTCAGGCATTCTGAATATAGTGTTTGCCGAAGGAAAGTAAGAAACGACAGGAGATGATTATTTAGTTTTAGATGGAATTGGCTGCTTTCATATTCCGCCTGCCGGCGTGCCGGCGGAGGCAGTGCTAGGGAGGAGGAGGGAGGCAGACAGTGTTAGGCGAATAGTCCTTGCCCCTTCGAAGGGTGTTTGTTTACAGCCCGACTATGAAAGCAGAAATTTAGTTTGGCATTGTGCTGTACATTCTCCTTCGGCCATTACTCACCCTACTGCGATTATTACTGGTTTTTGCTTACTGTGTTGACTCTTGACTGGACAGTGAGACACCTTTAGAAGCAGCCGATCAAACAAAACGAATGCTTTTTTGTTGATGCTCTGGCGGTAAGCCAGCAAGCTGATGTTTTGCTTTGCACCCAATTCGATTTCTCTAGGGCTCTCAACAATGTCATAATGAGATTTTCGCCTAAAATCTTTTCACTAGAGCAATTTATTGAGCCCATGCTTAATTGAATCTTCTATTTCACAGCTCGTGATAATTTTAAGGTCCCATTTTCATGTTGAAAAGGGGATCTCGAGATCATCATAAACTGTGAATAAGCTCAGAGATTAGTGCATCGATAGCGAAGAAAACGAAAGATTCCGCCGTGTTCATGCAAACTTTAGATTTTTAGAAGTAGGGAAAATAGAGGGTTGTATCAGATTATCATGGCGGAAGTGGCATGGAAAGGGTAGTGGGACGAGATCTCAGATGTGCAGTTGCGTAAAGAGCTGCCTACATCAAACCAATATGCCCAAAAATTGATTTCCACCGTTACCGTGGACACTGTGGTCATCTGGCCGTTTCGATTTTCAAAACTGGTGTTTCGGGTGATTGGTAAGCCTCTAAAATGCCGCAAAACTCGTACGCCTCTTGGTGCGCACGTCGACTAAGTTCAAACATATGACTTGGACGAGCCATGGTTAGAGCCCTACGTTTTTTTGACTTCACCGAGCATCAGACGGCACACTTGAGGGCCCACGTTTGTCTTAAATAGAAAGATCGAAAATCAGTTCTATACCTCGAACCGTTGAAGTTGTCTTTGACCCCTGTTTTCACAACTTTTAAGAGCTTCACAGTTCACCAGTCGGATAGCCCCAATGATAACGCCGGGATAAGATTTCTGCCGCATGTATTCTTGATGATTTTCAAAGTTCTAGGTGCGAATCCGGATTTATCGCTCACGCCGCGCCCCTGTTGATGGAGTCCAATATTATCCCCCATCGTAAGTGTTCACGTTCTGCCTGCTGTACTCCTACTGGTCTACGTCCAAGGATACAAACATTATGAATTTCCACTCATATGTTCATTTAGCACAAATCCTGTCCTCTGTAGGCGGAATCCGCTCCTCCAACCATCACCAGTCTTCCTATCCTGGACGCCTGTACTCCTACTATGTTTTACCTCACTAGATTCAAATTCAGATTTTTCGCTCACGCAGAATCCGTGAGCGGACTTCGACCGTTCCCTCCATTGTATTCCCGTCCTGGCCCTTATACTCCTGCAATCAGAAGGAGGGATGAAATTGCATACATATCCTTAGCCCAAGCCTTGACATTTCCACTCGTAAGCAAGTGCGCGAGTGTTTCATGTCGTATTTCCATAATAATTTTTGACCCTATATAGCACCTTCTGAAATGTCCTCATGAAGTAGTCTGACGAATTTTTATCCGTTTGTCGACATAGTAAGCGATGGCACAGAATACAGTCAACTTTTTCAAAAAAGAAATTGTCACGAGAAACGATTTGACCCTTCTCAACTTCTACGCCACCATAAGTATACTCTGATATCAGGACCTTTCTTTTACGCTGAACCTCTCTTCGTTAGAAAAAGTTGTGTCGAAGCGCGTGTCGCGTGCAAATGCGCACAGTTTTTTTTTTCGGGAAGTTTATAAGCCCTCGAAAGCTACCTGGATACATTTGCTCTTGCTCAGGGAAAGCTATTCACATCGAAGTAGTACATACATACAATTCGGCACGTTTCTCGTCTTTTTGCTGGTTTCGTAGCGCAAATATTCCCAAGCAATTATTTTCGGAAAAAGGGTCGTAATCGCGAAAAGACGACCATCTAAAGGCTTGTCATTGACCTGTCTACGAATCGTGGTTCGACATTGCTCGCATGACAGGAGGCTGTCATGCGAAAAAAGCCGAAACGACGAGAGATCCCGAACAGAACTCAGCAAATGCGCGCAAAGACGGAACGGCTGCTGAATGGTTGCGTGGATCCACCGTTTTTTGAAAACTGACTAGTTGTAGCACCAAAGTAGATTTGTGGGTTAGGGTACATGATAAATATCAGGGATGAGCAGATATTGAAAATCCTCGAAACAAGGAAAATGTGGAATTCCGTGATGTTGTTAGCATATTTATGGCGCATCCTGTATTTATTTATTTATTTATTTATTTATTTATTTATATATTTATAT